CAGTTTTTTCAATTTGTTACTCTCCTGATGGTACTACATTAGCATCTGGTGGTTGGGATGAGTCTATCTGTTTATGGGATTTTAAGACAGGATAATAAAAAGCCAAATTAGATGGTCATTCAAGTGCAGTTTTTTCAATTTGTTACTCTCCTGATGGTAGTACATTAGCATCTGGTAGTCATGATAGGTCTATCCGTTTATGGGATGTTAAGACAGGATAATAAAAAACCAAATTAGATGGTCATTCAGATTGGGTTTACACAATTTGTTACTCTCCTGATGGTAATACATTAGCATCTGGTAGTTTTGATAAGTCTATCCTTTTATGGGATGTTAAGACAGGATAATAAAAAGCCAAATTAGATTGCCATTCAGATACGGTTTATTCAATTTGCTACTCTCCTGATGGAAATACTTTAGCTTCTGGTAGTGATGATAAGTCTATCCGTCTCTGGAATGCAAAGAAAATACTTCAATCAGATAGAGGCTATAATGATTTGCTTGCCTAGTGTAACATACCTCTTCAGAATAGCTCCGTATTGCCAAATAGTATTTATTATTAATTATTATTTTGCTAATCCTGATCTTACAATACTTAGAATATGTTAGAATCCTTTATTTGAAGCATCAGGAACACTTATCCTATAAGGAAAATTCATTAATCATTAAGGGAATGATTTAAAACCTTTGTGTAAATCAAAGGGTAGTTGCTTTTTAGAGGAATTAAAGCATAAGTGAATTTGAATATTCATAAAAAACATTACAATTATGAGTTTAATCATTTTATTAAAATTTTTTTTAATAATATGTTTTTTTTTTTAATTCTTGATCTTTAAATTCTTAATATTGATAAGTACATGTTTTTCAACAGTATTCCATTTCAAGCAAGTGATTAAACCATTTTAGTTTAATATAGTTAAAATATATGTTCATTTTAGTGTATAGTGTATATTTATTGAGATGTCTTAAAAATATTTTCTTAAATCATATCCATAGTGCTCACCATTTTTTATCATTTTAAAACTGTATTATTTTTAATTGAGGTCATTAAACTAATTCAATTTTAAAATTAAATTTATGATTGTTACATTCATATAATAATGGATAATCTTAAAATAACAAAATTTTTTTTCTATCTACCAATGAGTTTAAACCCCTCAGATGAATGGACAATAAATTCTTAGAATAAATTAAATACATAAAAAGTATTGATATTAATGATTGGCCACAAGTAAATGCATGTGTTACAGCCTGGTATAAAACAAATTATTAATAATTAAAATATAAAATTTTCTTTTTAAAAAAATCATATTGAATTTTTATTAGTATTTCAGACAGAACTTGATTTTTGATAGATAAATAGTAGAAAACCAAACCCCAAAATAGTGAAGTTGTATTTTTTGCAAAATTGGTGAGCCACATTTTTTTGTTGTAAATATTTGTTTTTTTAAGATGAGTGTGCTTGGAATGGTACCCTCTACAAATTGAAATATGATTTATGATAATATCGTTATACTATATTTATCGAAGATATATCTGCAAAATATTTTAGATATTAACCTCTCTAGTGAAGATGTATTTTGGTGAATTTTTGTTCACATTTGATGTTGTCCAAAATGAGAAAAACTTAAAATATCTTTAGCATGTTATCATATTAGTCCCAGTTTAAGTAACAATAAAATTCTTCTAGCAAGAAGTATACTAGAGCTGCAGTCATTTTACTTCATGAATATCTGAAAAGAATTAGTTTTAGTAATTTAAAAATACAAACATGTGTTAATATTATTGCAATTGTGAATTTCTTCATTCGGGTCATTTTTGATTTTAAGTTTGAATATAATTATTTGAAAGACAAATTATTAATTTTTCAGAATAAAATAGATATAATCTTGTTAACATATCATTATTTTGCTTAGTTTTGTTATGGATCGATAGAATAATTATTATAGTTGTGGAGATTTTAAGGAGTTAATCTTCTAAATATTTTCATCAGTTGACACTTCAATATATTAATAAGAATATCTAATATTTATAACTTTTTATTAATTGACAATACCAGAAAAAATCGAAGGTACTGAGTATGAAAGAAATGGCACACAATAATTTAACCTGAGAAACACAAGATATCAAAGGTCAATTGATTTAATTTAGTTAAAAAATTATCTCCAGGTAGTCTCAACTGCTAAATGGTAAGATTCAGACCTAGTGCATTGATTACTGATGACCGCTTTTCTATATAAAATATCTAGTGTTAACCTGTAAAATCAGATTACCGAAAATCTATTGCTGAAACCCCTTTGAACTAGTCGAGCAGTCAATTCATGCCAACACTGATCTCATGAGCTATTCGAGAAATATCCTCTGTTAGAAGGCTATCAGATTGATTTTTTCAGATATTAATCAGATACAGGGCATTTTTGTTTCTAAAAGTTGCTACTATACTTGTTACGATATTTCTAAAATACCTAATTCTAGTACAAAAAGTAGCGTTTGCATGTGGTGCTCCCTTAAACTACTTAATTGAATATAATTGGTCATTTATTATAAGTGGTTAACTAAGAAGAACTATATAAGGCATTAGACGCAAAATTAGAGTAAGGCGCTGGACTGAATTTAGCACAAGACATAAGAAAATAAATGTTCAAAGCTGAACAAGTTATGAAAGCATATGAATTATATGGACATCAACTCCAAAATTAAAGTGATGTTCCATAAATATTAAATTCAGTAAAGGCAGTATGGATCCCAAAACAGTTAGCCATGCTTTTGGGAGTTAATACATCAATATCAAACGCTGTTATTATTATATCCACAAGGCAACTGCGCCAATATGTTACCATTAATTTTTAGGTGTAAGAAAAAAGTAAGTACAAGCCGAAAATACCAACACACATTTAGTGACTTAAGATGAAAGGAAAATCCATTTTGGAGGCAGAATATAAGGAGTTATTATAAAAATATCAAAAATTTTTAGAATCAATCGCTGATGCAGTTACCACTATTTTCTATTTAATCTCGTTGAGTTGTTTTCCTGTTGTCGAATCTATTCGCATATAAATGTTATTGTTCACAACCGTGCTTTTTCATAATTTTATTGTTCGTAAGTGCACTCAAGACAAGGAACCAGAATAGTTGGAATATAAAATGGTTTACATAGTATATTTATAGCCTGTTGAAATCAGCATGATGTAGGGCTTGAATTCGTTTATCAAATTAAGCCTACTTTATTCATTCTGTAGCATAAATTTTTATATTCAAAATTTCAGTTCTTCCCTGGTGATTCATAAAATTCTCCGTTAGTATTTTTTCTACATAAAGAATATTATTCTCTCAACTATTTGATCCTATGAAAGTAATATTGTTTTTTTTGTAAATTATTGTTAACTGTGTGGGTAGAATTTATTTTTAAACAATTTGAGTTAAGGTTATTACATTAAATTTGAATTAACCAGATAAAATTCNAATATCATAATAATCTTATCAATATTTATTATGATTAAAGCTATTGCAAACTTTTGATATTGCATTAAGAATTATGAATTTACTAAATAATCAGATAAGCAATAGTGAATATAAGTATTTTGCTTGATAAGAGATTAGTTTTGTTTTCAATAGCAGTGAAATCAAAATTTATCTGAACACACCATAAATATTAAAGCATGTTTCTTGATGGACCTGTTTATATGTGGTTTAATTATTCAGCTCTCGCTCACCATAGTCTTTAATTAATCTTTATAATTAGGATAGATATCGGAATGGGAAAATAAGGTGGAAGGGAATAAAGTTATTTATCACCCGAATTCTTGAGTAAGTCTGATCGAAGGGGCTAGATTTTTCAATAATATTGTTGGTTTAATTTTTAACTGGATCACATATATCTGAAGTGAAAGGATGAGTCTAGATATAAGGACAAATTGAAAACATTTCCAATTTTTCATTCAATTCTACTAAGATGACCATATTGCTTCACACAAAAAGTTTATAGATGCTCACTTTCTTCCCCTACCTCGTATTTATGTGTGTTCCAATATTTTTGACTGAATCATTCCTTCACTCATATGATATATATGTTCCCTTTTCATCTCATATTACTGCAGGTTTCAAATCAGAAGTTGAAAATATCCGATCATTATATCTATTACTATTGAGTTCCTGTCTCAATTTAATCTCCTTCTTTACCCTTTGTCCATCTTTTGATTCAACTTGATTGCAGTGTTGAGATCAGAAGTGCTCTTTCTTTATCTCGAGCTGTTTTGAATAAAATTCCTACTTATGCTGCTCTAAGATATACCTCAATTATACTACATATCAACATAATTATGATTAGTATAATTAAATATGGATAAGTTATAAGGAGCTTATTTAAGGAAATGGTTGGGCTAAACAAAAGTTTTTGCAAAGAAAATTTAAAATAAGCATTCCGTTCTTTAGAGATGCTAAAAATAAGATTTTGTAGAAATGAAGTACATTTTCAATGGAGAAAAAAAAGATATGATAAAGTTTCAAAAAGTACTCAATCCTTACATGAATCCTTCTGTATAGTTTCTTAAAGTAGACAGGAATTTTATATAAACTACCTAGAATTATAATTTACTTCAAGATACGATTTCACTTAAGTCTAGGGTAACGAAATTTAGAGGAAATGGTCAAAACCCATATCAGCATGCATAAATCTTGAAATTTTCTCCTTCATATAATTTATTAGTATTGACGACATTTCAAAAATTATATTCATTCTCTAATACGTCATAATGTTGTTGATATTGGGTAATAATTAATCAGGATGAAAACTATTCAGATACGGCTCACCTTATACTTAACTTCGATACTAATAACTGCTACCTTTTCGCAAATACAACTCAATTTCACTAACGTAAGTTATTTTTGGATGCTGAAAAAAATTATCCTTTGTTTGTGAAATATAGGTGTATTGTTTTCTCATGAAAAAGCTTGAAATTTAAAGAAACAATATAATTCTTGTTAACCTGAATTCAAATCTCTTTTATTTTTATGATTCAATTATAAAACAAATCTGGATATTTGGGAAAGACCTATTGCATTCAAAAAAAGGATTCTCATTCAAATATCCTTTACTATTGTTAAAATTTTTGAGATATTTTATTCTATTTTTTCACATATCCCCAAAATAATTCTAATAATCTTGTTGAAGTCTACTATTAAACATAGCTTCATAGTTAAAAATTAATTAAATAAGTAAAAATGAGGAATAACGGATGATATTCATGACTTTTAATACCAAAAAAATTAATTACATTCTAAAATAAAGGACTTACATTTTGAAGTGTTTTCAATAAATCAAAAACAAAATCATCTAAATCCATTTCGTTCTTATGTTATCAATTTTTCCAATTTAACATAATATTCTCAAAATTATTTATCAGCTTAGATATTGTTATTTTTTTATAATACATAATTACGCAGTTATTTAGTATTCCAAAAATAATTATAAAGAAGAAGGTGTATTTCGTAATTTAATGCTATTTTAATGATATTATTTAATTAAAGTAATAAAATATATATTTCTTAATCTAACTTTTAAAATTGTGAAATGTTTGAGAGAATAATCTAATTTGATAAAAAAATTTGTCATGAGTTAAATGTGATAATTTTTTAAGGTTTTCATTAAGAATCAATTGATGTGAATTTAAAAATTATAGATACCAACTTTAAAATAATGATTTATAAATTTATTATAATGAAAAATACTTAAGTATTTTTTAATTACACTTATAAATCTTACAACTTATAGAGATAGAAGAAAGTGTAAGAAAAGGTTAGATATAAGTTTATTTGGTTTTTGGATTGTGTTTAGTTGGTCTGGCTTTAAGCCTAAAAAGCCTTCAAAATGTTGTGGAGTATGGATAAAAAGTTCTGTTAATTATAATTTATGTTTTTATTATTATATGATATCAAATAAATCTATTATATTATTTTTATTTAAGTAATCAACAAATTGGTGAATTAACATAATTTATTTATTCTAATCCTTATATCATTATCTACAATAAAAGAATTGTGATTAATATCAAATTTGTGTTGTTATTCAATATCAAAAATGTAAAGATCTAAATTTGAATGTAAGAATTGTGGGATATTATTTACCAAAGCTTTCAAGACATAGACTCAATGAATGTATAAGGTTATTTTCATCATATATAATTTAGGGTGGATTGTAAGTAATAATTATGATGAAAATTTATTTTCCACCTGCAATGGTTATACATTGTTTGGTGGGTTTAATGTATTTGCAAGAAATACAATAATGTCTAAGTAATTTCCCTTACCTCCTCATTATGGACTTAGAGTAACTTTAGAATTTTTGAAGTATTTATGATATTAAAAGTAGCATTGATAGTTGGAATGTAGAGATTTTCTATTTAATTGTAGATGATAAAGTGTTTTCAAAACATTATCTTTGGTTCGAAGGAAGTTAAATGTGTGGAATAGGAAATGATTGGAATGAGCTAAAAGAATAAATTACTTTTATTTTGGATCATAATTCAGAGTCACTAATATTTGTAATTACTTCAAATCTCGATTAAGATCCAGTTGATGTACAGTTTAATTAATATTAAAGGAAAGTTGGGGAATCAGAAATTTTGTTTTGTCAATATTAAGATGTCCTTAGAATTGTTTATATTGTTTAGATAATGATTATAGTAATTGCTATTTTTGGATTGGTCTTTTACAATAATGGCATCAATCGATAAATCTTGATGGATGGATGAAAAATGATAATATCTAACCTGCAATTTAAAAATGTGTGAGTTTTGATCTTGTTTAATTAGCACCAAATGATAGACTAGAAAAAACTATAGAAAATTTGACTCCACATTATAAAATGTAAATAAATGTCTAAGCTTGGTAAATAGATTCTTGGAATAATGAGACATTTTCTTTAGGAATAGATGATAAACTTTATAATTAAACTCTTTTTGAAACTTCAGGTATTTATTCGCTTTGCGGTAATAATGGATTAGAATTGATATTTAATATTGGAATTTCTTTATTTCATTCATAATCCTAATGTTAAATTTCTATGAGTACTAATCATAATACTAAAACTACAAATGCATCCTTGGGAATAAGAGCCATTAATATATACCTTGCAAAATGTTTTACTGGTTGTGCTCAATGTATAGGGCCATAAAAAACAGATTGTACTGTTTGTTAAAGTGGATGGGTTTTTTACAATAATTTATGCTCTCATCTTAATCATTAATCCTTATAAAATAGCCCCTCCTATGCTTTTTTCTACAATATCAATTAATTAAATTCAAGATTCACTGAAATAAGAAAGGATTCCGATGGAAATCCATTTATTAGAAGTTGATTAATAAATATCCACATATGGAAAATAACCTATTTTAGTTAGGAACAATTAAATAATCTTGACTATTCAAGTTTATGTAAAATGTTTTCCAAATAAAATAATTAAAGGTTTATTTTAAATCAATAAACCATAAAATTTGTACTAATATTAATNTTTTTGGATTGTGTTTAGTTGGTCTGGCTTTAAGCCTAAAAAGCCTTCAAAATGTTGTGGAGTATGGATAAAAAGTTCTGTTAATTATAATTTATGTTTTTATTATTATATGATATCAAATACATTGTTTGGTGGGTTTAATGTATTTGCAAGAAATACAATAATGTCTAAGTAATTTCCCTTACCTCCTCATTATGGACTTAGAGTAACTTTAGAATTTTTGAAGTATTTATGATATTAAAAGTAGCATTGATAGTTGGAATGTAGAGATTTTCTATTTAATTGTAGATGATAAAGTGTTTTCAAAACATTATCTTTTGTTCGAAGGAAGTTAAATGTGTGGAAATGGAATTGAGTGGTATGAGCTAAAAGAATAAATTACTTTTATTGTGAATCATAATTCAGAGTCACTAATATTTGTAATGACTTCAAATCTGGATCAAGATCCTGACGAAATTAAGTTTAATTAATATTAAAGGAAAGTTGGGGAATCAAAAATTTTGCTTTGTCAATATCATTCATAAGCCTAATGTTAAACTTCTATGAATACTAAACATAATCCTAAAACTACAAATGCATAATTGGGAATAAGAGCCTTTAATTTATGCCTTGCAAAATGTTTTACTGGTTGTGCTCTATGTATAGGGCCATAAAAAACAGATTGTACTGTTTGTTAAATTGAATGGGTATTTTACAATAATTTATGCGCTCATCGTACTCTTTAAACCTTATAAAATAGCCCTTCCTATGCTTTTTTCTTCAATATCAATTAATAAAATTAAAGATTTATTGAAATAAGAAAGGATTCCGAGGAAAATACATTTAAGAAGTTGATTTATAAATATCCACATATGGAAATTAAACTACTTTAGTTAGGAACAATTAAATAATCTAGACTATTTATGTTTATGTTTATGTAAAATGTTTCCAAATAAAATAATTAAAAGTTTTTTTAAATCAATAAACCATAAAATTTGTACTAATACTAATATTAAAAAATTGTTAATAATTTTTCGATTTTATAATTTTTAAGGTTAAATATGAATTAAAGATAATTTCAGAATAAAATTTGATAATTAATACATCTAATACAAAATTTATAATTTATTAAGTAACTATAATTAAAGTTGGTGATAACTTAAATCCTATCAAAGTTTTAGAATTTTTTTTGGAAGGTGTTTGAAATTCAAATCGCTCTAAATATAGTAGTTATTTAATGATAAAATTGAGTAACATTTTTTATCTACTTAATAAATTAATGCATTTAATATAAAGCATTTCCATTTCTTAAAAAATACGCATTGTTTCTTCCTCCCTTATTTTTTTTAGCTTTTACCTAATGTTAATGATTACTTATAATAGATCTTTGTGTTTCTAAAGTTTTCTTTAAAACTAATTTATATCATCTGAATCTAAGATAGTGAACGCATTCAATCAACAAAAACTTGAATAATTAAAATAAGTATATTTTTATATTTATTAATACATCTTATTTCTTTATTAAGGTTAAATTTCTTGTGTATTAATATGAGAACTTTGTTATTATTTTCTCTGACCTTATTTTTTATAAATTAGCTATTTAGCAAAGATGAAATTAAAAGCTGTACTCGTTATTTTTTAATAATTTCCATAATATTAAGCTTTTCTTACTAATATTTAATAGTTTTAAATGCAAATTTATAATTAAATGCTCTAATTATAATAAGAAGAAAATAGAATATAATTTGATTCAAAGGTTTTCGTTAAGAATAAACTATCAAGTATATAAATTTCTAATTCTACTGTTTGCAGCCTTACTTTGAAATGATCTAAATCAAATGTAGATCTAGAAAGATATCATCTATTAATATCGATCAAAATCAGAATTATAAAAAATTTGTGATTTATAATTATTATTAAAAAGATCTTCAATTTTTCAGGCTAAAGAATACTCCAATCCAATAATTTCAGTACGTGAGAGCAATCTAAATTTATGGAGATTCCAAGCTTTATTTAAATAAACTATTATAGTAGTAAAAACAAAAATAAAATAATCAATTTTCTAGATTCAATTAATCTAATTTCTACTCTTTATTCTTAAATTTCACCAAAGAAAAGAGAGTACTTACAGAGAATATAATAAGATGAACAAAATATTCTCAAAATACCTTGATATTATTATGCTTCTAGGATTTGAAAATTATATTACTCTTCTCTTAGTGAAGACAATTTTAGAGTTATATAGAAAATCTTTGGAGCTAAATTGAATGTTTTATTTTAAATGATGAAATGACTATTAATTATACCCTAAGATTATCATCTCTTAATATTTTAATATTAAAATTAATATAATAAAGCAAATTAAGGAAAAAAAAGCAAGATTAATTAGAGAAGTAAAAATCAATTTTCTGTGATGAAGAAAATCTAATATCAGACTGCAGAACTACAAGCGATGAAAAACTCGAGTAGATGATTCAATATCCGCTATAAAACAATCAAATGGCAAAAAACAAGAATAGAAAATGGAAATTAGATAAAAAATATAATATGATTACAAGGCCTACTGGAAGAGACATTAAAGATATAATCAGAATAAAAAAATTGTGAAATTTCAAGTAAAATAAAACACAGAATTGAATGAGAATTCAAAGTGAATATTCTAGAAATGGAGAAAAAAGTAAGAAAGTCTGCTTTTAATCAGCACATCTAAATAAATTAATAAGGACAAAGGCTTATGCATAAAAATATTTTGCATGTGAAAGATGAATTTATTAAAATACAAGATTATGATTCAATAGTCATCGAAAAATGATAAAGTTCCCCCTAATTCTTAGCAGAGAAAGAATATTAGAAAACCTTTGGAGAGGCTGTGCGAAATATGAATTTAAGGTGGTAGATAACGAAAAAAGTTAAGAAAGAAAAGTAAGAAAAAGAGAGGTAAATAATATTTCTTCAGATTTCTGTTTTTAGTTGTCCCACATTTATATTCTAATCAACAAACAATGATGATTCTCATGATATCAAGGCCTCAAGGACTTTTTTCCAAATATCGTCCACATTCCAGTCAAATTGTGTGTCAGTAAGAAACCCCATATAAGACTAAACTTTCAAACTAATTAAAATAACTTTGTCCCTTCTAGCCATTCATTTAAAAATTTGCCATTCCCTCAAGTCATTTAAGTTTGATCTTCAACCAAAATATCTTCTTGAATTATACAACTCACATAGTATAAATTTTATCCAAAGCTTATTTCTTACCTGAATTTGAGTGTTAGGATTCAATCATCAGAGTCTTAAGGTATAGAACCGAAAAATTAGTACTAAAAGTCAGTTTACTTTATGGAGTTGTTCGAACAATATTTGCAATCTTTCTTTCATTTACATTCCTTCTATAATTATGCTAGATTGGATGCAACTATAATAATTTCAATATAGGTTGAAAATTAAAATCTAGCCTTCATCTTCACTAGAATGCCTACAGATAACAGAAAGTCCAAGGTGACTTCAAAAAGAATAACTTTTGAGGGTTCTTCTCCAAGATCTATATAAAAATACTATACATTCCCTTCCAAACTAGTATTAACAAATTCTTAAAACCGATATTAGAGTTAAATCTTCTTCTCTCCTAAACTACCTGATTTAACCACATTAATGTGCTTAATAAAAACCTCAATTAATCTAAGCAAGTAAGTCTAAATCGAACTATATCTAATAAATCTCTACACCCCACTTGATCAGTGGGCAGGTTAATTGGAATTAAATACCAATTCCTATGCATTAAGTGTATTCCCCCAGATGGTTCATAAGATTTAGGTTGATTGTATCTATAAAAATTAAAAATTCCTTCTCCAAATCATTTTTTAAAATTGTAAAATTTGTCCAAATTCATCCACTTTCCTCTCCATCAATTTCAAAATTATGGTCAACGAATATCTGTCTACCTTCCAGTTGTCTCATCTTAGTTTTAAATACATCACTTTTCACTCAAGTCATCTCTAGGCCCATTATTATGATTTAAGAATTTTGTTTGAAACATTCTTAATTCTTTTTTCAAAACTTCCAGTTTCTACAAGTAATCAAGATTTAAAAATCTTCATTATTAATTTTTAAACATTCACAAAAAGTTATTTTTAAGATTCAATCAATAAGTAGCCTAATAATTAAATTTAGCCAACTATTTATAGCTACTTCCATTTTATGAGACTTAATAGGTTTCGCCTCTTTTGACTAATGATATTTTGAATATTAGCTCGAGTAATTAATATATATTTTATAGATCAGTATAAGAGAGGATGATTCTAAAGAAAAGAACTTCTTTCCAAATAATATTAATAATTAATATAAGAGTTTCTGAAAAAAATCAACATAACGATATGAATAAAGAAGTATAATTATAATAAGATTTTAAAGGTCTAAAAATAAGATAAGACTGAGTTTTAGTGTTATTTAGTGGTTACTATTAATTGTATTTTAGATTTCTAATTTAAAAAACTGAAACCTAAGTATTTCCTAAATTTGGATTTATATATTACTTTATATTCATTGCTAAATGAAATAAATATTATATATTCAATATCTTATTATTATCTAAATTTATTCAAATTGAAATTTGAGAAAAACTTTGTAAATTAATTTATTAAAACATTCTTATTACTATCCTAATTCTATCAAAAACCTGAATAGAATATTATTCTTCCTTCAAATTTGAAATTTATTCTCCTTTTTAAATTAAAAAAAATGTCTTATAATTCAGTAACTTCAGGAAATTAGGATTATAAAATCTCTGGATGTGGAATACATATACCAAATGATAATTAGCAAGTCTAATTGGAAATTTCGAATGACAGTGCAATTTTTCTGGCAAATGTTGAAAGAGATCTAGGGAATGTGGTGAGCGGGGGCCACTTTATCATTAAGCTTTATTAGTTGTTACTGGAAATGCTATGAGTTCAAATTCCTTAGTTATTAACAATTCTATGAAATATCATATTGTTGAATACATGGAAGATAGTCAGGTGCATTGTTACTAAATTAATATAAAATTCAGAAACTATCCCTAAAGTTTGGACAAAATGAGTGTATTTGAAGATGAAAAATTCTCTTGGAAAGTCATGAAAAATAACTGGTGGTAAAGGTTGACAGGGAGTAATAAAAAATAGTTTTAGTGTAATGGTTATTATGTTATGGATATTAAGGATATTATGAAACAAGCAACTTAGTCTGAGGGAAATTATAAGATACTATTAAACAACTGTTAAACTGCAGCAGATAAAGCAACCAAAATTTTATTTGATCGAATGAATGGAGGCCAAAATACAAGTATGTGGGGTAAAATAAAACATTTTGCCAATAAGTTTATAATTTACCCCATAAAGTGGCTTTTATTGTGGTTAGGTCAGGAAATTATAGATTATTTTCTATATTTAAAAGAACTAGTTATATCATTCCTGAACATATTGATGAAGTGATATATTATATTAATATTCAAATCATTATTTAAATTAGAATTTATTTAGATACATTATTCTTGCACCTTTATAAATGATTAAGCAGCCTAATGTTAGGAAATATAAAAAAATCTTTGCATTATTTTTTCGATCAATACTATCTTTGGTTTTCAACTTTAAGATCTTAATATTAAAATTGAAGTTAAAAAAGTTCTTTTACAACAAAAAAATGTAATCATATAACACCATTTTTAATTTTAAGTTTGAAAAAGAAAACTTTCTCTATCAAATTATAAAACTAATGATAGGACAATATAATGAATTACCAACAATAAATTTTAGACCTAATGAATCATTCTAAATTATTAAATTCACAAATTATTCTATAAAGTACTTACCAATGACCACCCATATTTTGTTACTTAATTTAAAAATTTCAAACTAAATAACAACAAACTTAACAGAACCATCGAAGACTCAAGATATTGATTTATTCTTATAAATAGTAATATCAGGCAAATCAGGATGATCTTTACAATTAACATTCTATTAAAAATTAACAAGTTTTATTTCATTATTTTATTATTAAGTAAATTTATGAAATTAAAGTAAGTAAGAAGAGGCTTGAAGATTCTATAAAATAATAAATTAACTTAGGGAATTTGAAAAAGATTTGTAATGATTAATGTAATATGATGTTGAAAAGAAATTAGTACATAGAAAAACAGATGATTATGCTAAAATATCCAAAAAGAGAGTATATCTATAATTAAAAGTAAATTTAAGAACTAAATTAAATGATTTGGTTCTAAGGATATTTAATGATTTTAAAATGTAAATGTCAGAGCCAATAACAAAATGATAATTTAATTCATTTTTATTTTTTTTTATAATCTTAAATATGAATTAAATCTGGGTCAATTTCTCATAAAATATTTCCAATTCCCGTTTTTTCTTACATCTCCCAACCGTAAAAAAATGCTAGAATCATATTTTTTTGTGGCAACTGGAGGTAGCCATATGTTTGGATAAATTACATTATTTCAAATAATATTATAGGGGAATTTAAATGAATGATCTTCTTACTAAACTTCTTAATAATCCTTCTCCTGATCTGTTTATAAGTGCCTAATTAATAGAAAATTACTCAAATATAAATACTTGTATCCTGAATCTCAAAATAACCTTATAAAATTGTTTATTACAAATTTCGGAAATACCATAAAAAGTTTGAAGATTTTTCCTTGACATTTAATAAAACTAATAATTAATTTAAAGTAAACCTTTATTTTTATCATTTAGGATCCAAAAAAAATGAATGCAAGTTATTATTAACATCTAAACTAATTATTCTATTTTTGATGAACATTTACTATAAATTAGTTGTTAAGGAGTTATTTGATTTATTTTAATTCTCTTTTTTCAGCTCTATAGCAATTCCATTCTTAGAAAAGTTGATTGGAATCAGTACAATATGCCCTCATTACCATCAATCAATTCTTTTCTCAAAAATCCTTAATTGTTCAAGCACAATTCAAGGTTTCCCATAAGTTCAGACAATATCCCTCTGATTAATTGCCAGAAGGCCTCATTAAATTGCTTAAATTCTTAAATTTTTAAATTAGAGTTTTATGCCATTTTCCATAACTTATATTTAATATTTGCTCATATAATTGCATACTTAATCATAGGTCTTTTCTGGGTGAAGATTAGAGCTTGTTTAGTTTTCTAAATATCTATATTTTTATGTTAAAAATCAAATAGGAATTTATAACCTTAAACCCTTTTTGTGACGCTCTTTAATATGCTCAGATAGGTGTTTTAGAGGATATAAGAAAACAATCAGTTTTGGATACAATCATATCTTCTGTTCAATTAAAAATAATTCTCCCAGATCATTAACAATTTTGAGGTATAAACATAATTTATCCCTTCTATTTATCAATCAAAAAATAATAAAATGGTTTATAACCAAATTTGTAAGAATAGGTTAAATACATATATTTAAAAATGATTGCAAAGTGTCCAATAAACAAGGTTTTTAATCTCCGATTTTACGATTGATACAAACAATATAAACAGTATTAGTTGCACCAAAACGCTGATAAAATTATGATAGGGATTCTCTCTTCATTGAATGGATAACTAGTCTAAAACATTGTCCCAAAAAATATACTTTAAGGTTTTCATATTCTAAAGTGTATTCTTTCTGCAATAATTAAAATATTACACAATATCCCATAATAATTGAATTTATTCAATTAAAAGTATAAACTATTTAAAAATAAAAAGTTGTTGAATTATATGCAAATAATTTCAGGAAATAAGGATTGAAAAAAATTATGAGTAGAGTAGCAATGGCTTTCCTTATGAGACTCTACGAAATGTGCAGTATGAGCA